TGTCTTCGCCATGCGCTTTCGAAGTTGACGACAGCTGCGCGGTCAGAGTCCACGACCGAAGGCGTTTTAGACCCAGCGCGGCCACGCATAGCGAAACATATACGAGTTTCAGGAAAAAAACACTTGCGAAAATCACCCCTGGAATCTCTGACCGCAGGGGTTTCACAAATTTCTGCCGGAATCTCCAAACCATCTCCCCCCCCCGCTGCCCCTGAGATAAAACGCCCGAAAGCATCTCAAGCCCCCCCCCCAGGAAATCATTCGCGAAATCTCAAGCGAATTCCCCCTGCGACACATGTCCGGCGAAACCTTCCGCCGAAAACTCCCTCAAACGTGCCCCTTTTAGAAAGCCTGGGCGAACTCTCTGGACAAATCCGTCCACGGAGAACTCTCTGGCTTAATCTTCCGGTTTTTCGCGACACTACAATCCCCAAGCAGGACGGGTGTGATGGGCACGAAACCTTGTCAAGAGTGTGGTTTTCGAGTACCTTGCCCGCTCTGCCGGTGTTTCCCTGAAGGAGTGGGAGGTGCACGAAGCCTTGTAAGTAGTATGGTTTGCGAATACCTTGCCTGGTCTGGCAGGGATCCCCTGGAGGGGCGGAAGGGGCACGAAGCTTTTCTGCAATCTTTGTTCCGGCTTTGCACGAAAAGGTTTTATTTTCTTTGGACTAATCTGGGCCCGTGGGCCTGTCTGGTGGTTCGGTCGCCGCCGTCGTCGCCCCGTCGCCGACTCGTCGTCGCCCGTCGTCTGGGTTTGCGGGTCGGGCTGGCGACTATGTCGCAGCTGTCGCCGTCCTGTCGCCGTTTCGTCGTCGGTTGCCGCCACCGTAGGATTGCACCACGTAGATTGCCTTGGATTGTTTTGCGTTTTATGTTTCGCATTGCGTTGGGTTGTTTTGCGTTGGTGTGCTTTGCGTTGCATTACTGGCCTCCGCCGCCGCCTTTGGACCGCAAAGATTGCACCACATAAAATTCGGATCCTTTCCCATGTCGGATAGAGCCCGATTGTTCAATTTAAGCATGAGTTCGTATTTTCCCAGCTAACCCCCTGTAACTCGTAGAGCTTCCCTTAGCTAGTTGCTGGAAGCTTAAGAGTAATTCCGGGGCGCTGGAGAGCTAGTTGGCAAGAAAAATCTCGACGGACTTTTTGATGACTTTTGGCCGGTTGAACATTTTGTTCTCGAAATTCAACCATTCGTTGGCGCTCTAGTATTTGTTCTCATGATATTCGATCTTATTCCCGCTCGCCGTCTTGATCTCAGCTCGATCGGGTACCTTTTACTGCCAAAATGCAGGCAGGCGGGATCGGCCGTTTCGAGTCATCTCGACAGGCGTTGTCGGTTTTTTGTACTTAACTCGAGCTATAGGACAGCTACAGAGCTGATGCTCACAGAAACCGATTTAGAATGATGAGGCGCGCTTGTCTGTTAAAGCCAGAGCTCTGAACTCGGTCTGCTGCCCGAGCTAGGTCCGCGAAGCTATTCGTATTGTTCGAGTCATCTTGAGAGGTGCTGTCGGTTTTCTGCACTTAACTCGGGCTGTAGGGAAGCTACAGGGCTGGTAATCACAGGAATCGATTTGGAGAAATCAGGCGCGTCTGCCTGTCGCATTCAGAGGTCTGAACTCGGTCTGCTACTCGAGCTAGGTTCGCGAAACTATTCGTATTGTTCGAGTCATCTTGAGAGGTGCTGACGATTTTCGCACGTAACTCGGGCTGTAGGAGAGCTACAGAGCTGATGCGCATAGAAACAGATTCGATATCATCGTGCGCGTTCGTCTGTTGGATCCAGAGGTCTGAACTGGGCTTGGTATTCGGGCTAGGTCCGCAAAATTATTCATATTCTTCAAGACACCTTGGCAGATATTGTTCCTTTTCTGTATTGAACTCGGGCTGTAGGATAGCTACGAGCTGGTACGCACAGGAAACGATCCAGAAGCATCAGGGGCGTTCGGCTGTTGCATCGAGAGGTCTCAGATCGCTCGGGCTGAAAACCTATTCGTTCTCTGCAATTGTTTTGACATTATGTATGGTCAGGAAGCTCTACGAGTCCCCCGGCGGTAAGAAAGGTTGACGGTTTACCGCCGGCGCCCAGTTTTTTATCGACCCCCGCCATTTCTGACAAAAAATGGACTGTGCGCGCATTCGTTTATCACAGATCAAGTGCGTTCAAGAAACCGCTTCGGGGAAAAACAACAAACTCGGCACGCGCGCGTCGCGCTCGCATGCAAGGCTTTGTGGTGTTGGGTCCTCGTTTTGTGGGGACGGTCTCCGCGGCCCTTCCTTTCTTCCTTCATTTTTTCCTGCTCCCCCTCCTCCCTCCTCCCTCCTTGCCTGTGCCCCCGCATGTCTTTTATGGCACACCCCATCACACGCTTCGTGGCCCCATAGGGAGCCCGACCGAAGGCCCCAGTGTCCGCGTCCGCATGCGTCCTCCCCGCCCACCGCATGCCCATCTTCTCCGGCATACCCCTCACACGGTTCGTGAGCCCACATGGAGTTTCACCGAAGGCCCCAGTGGCCGCGTCCGTATGCGTTTTCCCCGCTCACCCTTCTCCCATGTCAGTACACCGATCACACGTCTCGTGGCCCCACAGGGAGGTCCACCTAAGGCCCAAGGGGCCGCGTCCGCATGCGCCCTCCCCGCGCGCCGCATTCCCATTTCGGCGCGGCACACCCTTCACACGGTTCGTGGCCCAATAGGGAGCTCCACCGAAGGCCCCAGTGCCACCGTCCACATGCGTCCCCCCACCCACTTCGGCACACCCCCAACACTTTCCGTGGCCCCGTAGGGGGCTCAAGCGAAAATGATATTCACTATAGCGTCACTCACAACTGCATGTGGTTGGGTCGTTCGCCAGGCAAAGAAACTAAACATACTAAGAATGCGAATGCTAATACTTTCAGGCGTCGCCTGCATTTCAAGACTTACCTTTCCCAGCATTATGGCTGTACCAATAGGCTTTTCACCGAAGAAGAATAAACATAACAATAAAAAACGCGCGCGCTCCGGCGTGGTGTTTCGGAGAACCATTGGTTCCCCAACGTGTTCATCGAATGCGACTAAGCGGGCCTCTCGTGCGCGCGCATGTCGAAATCATTTGAACGCCTCTGCGCGCTTCTTTGGGGAGGGGGGGGATCCTTGTCAAGTGATACCATGCGGGCCACTCGCCCACGTCGGCCAGGCGTGCATGTCGAAATATTTCCATAACTTGCATCACCGAGACGTGGTCATTGTCATGGGCATCTGCAAGACCAGCATCGGCGCAGTCATTGGCCTTGCCGTCGTCATCGCCATCATCGTCGCCATCATCGCTGGTACTATCATCGCGTCTGCCGTTGTCGACGTCGCCATGAAATCGCGACCGCCCAGGTCACCTACTCGCATTGAAGTGCCCGCACGTCAGCGCATCCTGCGAGACGCACTGGGAAGTCGCCGGCGGTCAGCGCCATTGCGGCCGCGCCGGCCGCGCCAAACTAGCTGGCCGCCCTGCGCGTGAGCATGCGCGCTAACGCAGCCGCAAGTTGTCATCGAAATTGCCACCGCATGGCTTTTGCAAACCAAGTGGGTGGGTGGGGTGGTTGCGCGAGCAGTGAAATAAACAATTTGAAGGTCTGCAAAGTGAGTTGTGCCATTTTTTCCAACATAACAGAGAACAGGATCTAGCCCCCGAGTCACCGTCTCGCGTCAGGGTTTACGAGGAGAGAAGTTTGGACGGGAGGGTGCCAGGTGCCTTGCAGCATCGTTGATACGTCTTGGGTTTACTCGGCGTCTCCTCCTGGGGTTTCCTCCTGGTCCTCTTCCTTGTTCCCCCTCGCTTCCCAGGGGGTGCTCACGCAATATCGTTTCACGTGGTCATGTGCAGGCTCAGCTTCTACTTGTGGAAGTAGCAGGACTCAGTAGCACCTCGCCTTGTCTTCTGTCTTGTGCGGATGACCATCCATGTGTGGATACCGCGGGTGTCTATCTATGCATTCGAGGAACGACCCTACCTATTCCTCATACCCGGCCGCAATGATTTCAATTACTTGCCATTACCCAAGAGACACCCCAAGAGACACTGCAGTAGACCAGCACAGGTTGCCAGATATGTACTCCGGTTTCCACGATTGTGTTACACATGCGTATGAGTTCGACGACCGTGTCTCAATCGACACCCAAGCCTGTTCCACCCTCCGTCTGCGGGTTGCCTACACGACAATCGTCGCCGTCGGAAGCATCAGCTCCTACCTCTCAGGCGCCCCGCTCTTTATGTATTGGGATCGCGCCTGCGCGCCTTCCGCCACTTCCCCCTCCTGCCCTCTCCCCTCGCCGTGAACACTATAATCAGTTTATGCCACAAGCCACCCTGTCCACTGCTTGCTGCCTGCTCTTTTTTAGAACGAGGGTTTCCTCGTTCTCGCTCTGTCACCTGTCCTCCGCTGCCGTCTCTCCTTCGTCTCGTCGTCTGCGGGGTATGGGGGCCTCATGGCTGGGGGGTGCTTCGGAGGCCCGCCCGGTGCAGGCAGCACCGCGGACGTCGGCCTCACCGAGGCACGACTTGGCGTCGCTCGGACGTGCTGCTTTTTCTTCGGCAAGGATCATCGAGGAGCATTTTTGTTCGCCTTGCGCAAAAATACACGCTCGAAACCAAGCCATGCACAGGAAATGGGCGTCCGAGCGATGGTCAGCCGAGGGGCATCACCACCTGCCCAAGAAGATAGCAGAACTTGTGCCTGGCGTTCCCAAAAAGGCCATGCTTTCGAGGATCGAAGGAATGGGCAAATGCTCCTCGGCAGGTGGCGGCGGTAGGCCAGCGGAAGCCAGCGGAATTATAAATCGGCCTCCCACGAGATGACAACATGTTTGGGTTCATGGCTTCTGGAACCCGCCATAGATAGATTCAAGATCTGATAGGCTGCACGGTGCGCGGAACCCGTCACATCGGATCGCCCCGTAACGCTTACGATATTGTGAGTTTGCTTCCCTCCCTGGTCGAGCGAGCGGCTCGGCAATCGGCAGGTACCGCCATCTGGGCTTCAGCAGGCTGGACCTGCACTGGGTGGCGATGCCGCCGCCGCTGGAGCTGCTGCGGCGGGCGGACCCCGGCGCGGTGTGGATCCCCGACGGCCAGGACTGGGACGGCTCGCGGCTCGGCCGCTCCCCGATGGGGATCCCGCAGCGCGACCCTTCCTCATCCCGCTGGGGATGCCACTCCTGGGAGGTGAAATTCCTCAGACGCGCAAACGGCGATGTAGGTAACGGCGATGTAGGTTTCGGCATTGTAGGTGGGACTGGTTCGTGGCCAAACCAATTGTAGGACATCGTGGTTCGTGCTTTCCTGCAATTTGCTGCGTCGTTTTCGCTCGATACATTCGCACACCTGAACTGTAGGAACGTGTGGTTCTTGATATCTTACAGTTTGTTCTTTGCGAGCTCGGCGTAACAAAAATCGGACTCTCAACATCGCCGTTCACCAACATCGCCGTTAGCGCGGCCTTGGACGTATGTCCGGGTCGAAGGTTGGTTCCATGCAAGCCTCAGCTCCCTCCCCCTCGTCGTCCTCCTTTGTCCTCCACGCTTCACCAGTTTGAACAGAAGATCCAAATCGTTTCCATGAGCGGGCATGCGTTTCACGAGCTTGAATAGAAGATCTTCCTGTCAAGGCCACGGCCTCCACGCCATGCTTGAATGGGCACGGGCGAGCTCCCCAGAGGAGCACGCACGACTCCGGCGTTCGCTTCGATTTCTTTGTCCTCCCTCATCCTCATCCCCTCCCCCCCCGCCGCGTACGACGTCTTTTGCGAAGGGCTGTCGGTGGCACGGCAGGGAATTTTTGGAAAGCGTGCCGTTCCGCCTGTTCTGGCCCACCACGCCTCGGTGCGACATGCTGTCCTCTTCGCGGTGCCGAGGCGTCAACGTCCCGAGCTTTCCCGAGCCTCCCGCCCCGCGGAGCGGAGCGACGCGCTATCCGCTTGCAGGGCATAGCGTGTCGCTGGGACCGCCGTGGCGACACGTTGAGCAACAGTTCCCGATCACAGGATGAAACTCTTGGGAGCTGAAATTCAGAATCGGCACTCGTACGTATATCCCTGGTCGGAAGCTGGGCTTATCTGCTGATCTGGCTCAATCCTATGTCAGGCCGCTGAATCCTGTTTAATATTGTCTACTATTGCCTGTTTGGGTTCAGCGGCCCGTAATCGAGCTTGCTAGCTTTCTGTTGGTCCGACGAAAAGACCTCCCAGGAGATGCATCCTAATCGAGAGGATCTTTCGGCAGCGCAGGCCCTCCCTTCCCCTGTCCTCCCCCACCATTCCTCATCTTCCCCCCTGACCCCCCCACCAACCGCGCACGACATGTTTTACGAGGTGGTATCGGTGGTGGTGGGCGAGGCGCGGGCTCGACAAGGGGGGGGCGCGGGGACTCCTGCGGTAGCAGGTAGACCTCCCGACCTTCCACAGACAGGACTGTCCAGGCCCTGGTCGCTCGCCACGGGCCTCCAGGAGCCCGTTTCTCTTTTGCTTGGGGCATGGCGGGCGTCGCGGCCCTCGCTCCCCCGCCCCCTCTGACGTAACGCTCCTCCCCCCCCCAGGGCGCTCCGGGCAGTGCCGCCGTGCGCATTGGGATCCGCCCAGGTGTCTGCGTAGGAATCCGCATAGGAGCCTGGTCCGCAGTCGCCGTCGCCGTCGTCCTCGTCGTCGTCGTCGTCGTCGTGGCTCGTCGCTCGTCGCTCATCGTCGTCGTGCGCGCGGACGTGGCTTGAGCCTTTTTTTGCATTCCGGGCCGATGACGACAATCATTTGGGGTGGAGGGGTTGATGACGTCACGCTTCGCGCCGTCGGCGTCTGGGAATGTTGAGGAATGACGGAGGACGGGTAGCACCAGCATGCAGGTGGCGATCTGCACCACAACGCCTGTGTACACCACAGTGCCTGCGTGCACCACAGCGCGTGTGTAACCGTGTCTGCGGGCACAACATGTCTTGTGTACACAGCGCCTGCGTACACCACATCGGCCGTGCGCAACACAGCACCACTGTACACCACAATGCCTGCGTGCATTGCAATGCCTGTGTACACCACGGCGCCCGTGTGCACCACAGCAACCGTGTGCAACACAGCACCATTGTTGCATATGGAATTTTAGAAGGAATCCTTGTGACAAAATGGAGCACTTGTGGATTCCACAGAAAACAGTAGAAAGGAATCCTTGTGGACAAGGGAGCGCCGCTGGAATCTACGAGTCCTCCCGAATCCGCCCGCATAACCGTAACAAGAGGCTCCAGCTAAATTGGCCGTCCGAGAACCAAGTGGACCGATTCAATGGACCATTCTGCGGTGCACGCTGACATGCGCACGTGCGTTGTAGCGCCATACCGCACGATTGGGGATAAGGAGGAGGAGGATGAGGAGGAGGACGTGGAGGTGGAGGAGGAGGGAGGAGGGAAAACGTCGCATTCGATTATTAGCACTTTCCTGGTGTGGCACTTAGTTGTCCACAGCAGATCCTCACGTACATGCCCCTTCTGCCTGTCCTATGCACGCAGGCACTGTGGTGTACACCAGCGTTGCGTTGCACGTGGATGGTGTGATGTAGACAGGCGTTGTGGCGTGCACAGGCGCTGCGGTGCACGCTAGCATTGTGGTGTACAACGACGTTGTGTTGCACATGGTTGCTGCGGTGTACACATGTACACCGGCGCTGTAGTGTACGCAAGCACTGCGGTGTACACAGGCGCTGCGTTGCACACGGTTGTTGCGGTGTGCGCAGGCGCAGTGGTGTACACGCGCGCTGTCGTGCACGCGAGTGTTGTGGTGCACACAGGCGCAATGGGGCAGGTCGCCACCTACATGCTGCCCGCGTCGTCGTCGTCGTCCTCGTCCTCGTCCTCGTCGTCGTCGTCGTCGTCGTCGTCGTCGTCGTCGCTTGTCGCGCGTCGCGTCGTGCGCGCGGGCGCGGCTGTGGTGCCGAAGCCACACGACGGGGGGCATCACGTCATACCCCCCCCCGCCCCCCCCCACCAGGACGCCCGTCATCGCCGAACATAAAGAAACGCGCTCCAGGGAACACGACGGTCGTGCGTCCTCCGTCCTCCCCAGTCATCACAACCCATTCCATAGATGATGTTTAAAAAATTGCGGGCGTTCAGTTTCTTCGCTTTTAAGATCGACGTTACTGTTGTTCTGTTTGTGGGTCAGTTTTGTCGTTGTCCTTCTTGGGATTCTCGTTCGCGCCGTTTTTGTTTTGCCTTCCGTGTTGTATTGCTGTTGTGTGTTTCTGTTTGAGTTTGTGTATTTGTTCCCCGCTTTGGGTTGGACGAACACCGAAAAGTTGAACAACAACAGAGAATGATGCCCCCCCAGCAGTTCGAACATCAAATAAGCCCCTTCTCCTCCTCAGCACTCACAGGTGGCGCTCCCTGTGGGGGGGACAGGGCCCAGTCGGGGGTACAGCCTGTTGAGCCCCAGACAGAGCCTTTTCACCCCCTCGCTCCCAATGGCAGTCGCCCCCCTTCGCAGGCCCCCCCCGCCCTCTGTCTGGAACCTCCCAGACGGAGCGCCCCCGATCCCCATCCCTGGGACCGAGCGCTCTTTCTCTCAGTCCCTACCAGCGGCGGGCGGCCTTCAAAAAAAACCGCAGCGCGAGGCCTCAACGACCGCTTCGCGATCCTTCCGCGCCATTTGGCCCGGTCTCGGTCCCCAGCCAGGGCGATTGTCCGTCGGGGGGGTGCCGCAGCGCGAGGCCTTAACGACCGCTTCGCGATCGTGCCGCGCCGCTGGGCCAGCGCGTACTTCGGGCGCTGGCCGCCTGGGGACTAAAGGGCACCGACACCGCGACTCCCCAGGCCTCTTCCGGGGCGGGTTCTCACTATGGTTTCGAGGCGAGTCCAGCGGTGGCGAAGAGGGCTCTCCAGGACGGCAGCCACCGCCATTCGGGTCTCTCCTGGGGTGCGTTCTGATTCGGATTTCGAGGATAATCCACCCATGCTGACGAGGGCTTTCCAGGACGACCGATACCGCCACTCCCCGGGCCTCTTCCGGGGGGTGTTCTGACCAGGATTCCGAGGGGAATCCAGCTGTGGCGACGAAGTTTATCCAGGACGAGCAGCGGTATCCCCTGAGATCCGACGTTAGGAAACCTACAACAACATTGGAAACGACGACCCGAGCACTAGACCCCATCTCCCTGCGGCGCTTCCCAAGCTGAACCGATCTGTGATGGCCCAGGAGCCCGAAACGGAGCCGAAATCGCCGCGTGTGGAAAACATCCAACGCCCGGATCTCAGGGTGTCGGCATTCCGGATTTCATAAAACATGGGGGGGGAGTCAGACCATTTCGTTAGACCAGCCATGAAAAGAGCGGCCTGGTGTCCAGACGCCCCAGTACCCTCCAGGACAATTCAAATCAGACCCACCCAAATCAGACCCCGTGCAGTAGGTGCTGGTGGTAAGTCGTCAACGTTGGCCAGCGCCAGAAACTCTCCGGCCTTCCTTTACCTCGTCGAGCTCTTCGGCAAGATGAGCTCGGAGGAATCCGGGTGCAGAGCGGAGTTAGTTTGCCGACCCGACTGGAACGAACAATAGGACGTCCGGTCGGGCCTGAAGAGACGGGGGTCGATGCGAACGTGCGTCAGCCCGAGCACGGGATCTCGCAGGATCCTCGGCCAGGGGTGCACTGACCTGGGCTTGGGTGCAGGATCCTGCAGGAGCCTGCAAGGCCTGACTTGCCCTGGTCTGGACTGACCTGGGTCAGAACATCCCTCCCTTTCTACTGTGAGATTCGCGCTGGGCCGCCTTCCGCGCGGCCGCCCTCGTCCTATTCTCCCTCTCCCTACCCGCCGGCCAAGCAGCCGTTCGGTTGCCCCGAATCGCCGTCACGCTGGAGCGGACCGCCTCCGCCCCGCCGCCGACCGCAGACGTGCTGCGAGGTCCAGGATAGGAGGAGGGGGAGGAGGAGGGGGAGGGGGAGGGGGAGGAGGAGGAGGAGGAGGAGGAGGAGGAGGAGGAGGAGGAGGAGGAGGAGGAGGAGAAGGAGGACGAGGAGGACGCTGGAGCGTGCCGCCTCCCCGCGGAGGCCGCGCCTCCTGAACGGCTCCCTGCTGCCGGCCGTGCGGCGCGCGGCGGGCGGCGCGCGGCTCGCGCTGCGGTTCGAGGCGGGCCCCGAGTGGCTGCTGCTCGCGGGCCTGCGCGCGGCGGGGGCGCCGGTGAGGCGCTTCTCGCCGGTGGCGGCCGTGCTGTGCCAGCCAGGCCTCCTCCTCCTCCTCCTCCTCCCCTCCTCCTCCTCCTCCTCCTCCTCCTCCTCCTCCTCCTCCTCCTCCTCCTCCTCCTCCTCTCCTCCTCCTCCTCCTCCTCCTCCTCCTTCTCCTCCTCCTCCTCCTCCTCCTCCTCCTCCTCCTCCTCCTCCTCCTCCTCCTCCTCCTCCTCCTCCTCCTCCTCCTCCTCCTCCTCCTCCTCCTCCTCCTCCTCCCCTCCTCCTCCTCCTCCTCCTCCTCCTCCTCCTCCTCCTCCTCCTCCTCCTCCTCCTCCTCCTCCTCCGATCGGGACAAAATCGGATCGGGATCACTCGAGATCTCGGAGAATCGGCGGGTTTGGAAGGTGTATTGGGCGCCGCGGCCGCTCCAGAGCGTTCTGGAGCGCTCTGAGAGGGCTCCGGAGCGCTCTGGAGCGATGTATCCCGATTCTAGCCCTGTTTTACGGTTGCGCACGTGTGGCCAGAACCCCTCGCGTTGTGAGGAGCCCACGTCGGGAGGCTGTTCGCTACTTTCGGCCTCCAGAGGGGCCCTTGCCGGGCCTCGGGATTGGCAGACAACGACTCGGGAGGAGCAACCAGTCCTGGGGAAGGGGTCGAGACCTTTGGGGGTCGTCGCTGTGAAAAAATCACGACGTCGGGGGTCTGGGGAGACCCCTAGGAGGACCTCGTCGCCACGGCTGGCTTCGCCTCGATCTGGCCAGCACGCGCTCCAGTAGAGTCCCAGGGCGTCGCCGCATTGTCACCCTGAAATTATTGACAGAAGTCAGTACGGAGGGTTTTTGTAAACTGTTGTCGGCCTGGTAGCCCGCGCTGGGCCCCGGTACACCTTGCAAAATACCTCGGGATTGAAAGCAGGCCTTTGGGCTTGGGTCGGGGCTTCCAGGGACCGTGTACGGAAAAAAAGGCATCGGACGTTTGGGTCAGAGGAACCCTTCGCCAGAGTGACCGTTGGTGCGGGCCCGCAGGGGTTCGCTGTTGTCAAACCGATTTCGAGTGATTTCAGTCGTGGCAACCAAACACGGGCCCTCGGGATCTCTTGGGCCGCGGATTGAAACAAATGTGTCGGCGAACCATAAGATCCAGGCGTTGCGGTCCATGTTTTCATACCAGGCATTTTCGTCTGGTGTCGGGTACCGGCCCATCACAGGTCGATCCAGGTCACAAAATAGGGCAGAGAGCTGGGTCCAAGGGGGCTGGGTGCAATTTTTCGCGATGCTGGGTTTTTCACGACGTCGGATCTCGGGGTTTGTTTTTGGCCCGTAGGGGTCCACCCCGCATTGGCTGGTGCGCTTGGATCTGGGCTCTCCCGCGGCCCTTGAAGCGTCAGGGGCAACGTTAGGGCGGATGGGTCCAGAAGGGGATGCGACCCCCAATTACCCATTCGTCGCCGATAGGGGCCCGATGGCCCACACGCGCGGTTCCGCTATTGCGGGCCTTTCGCCGAGCAATCGGCGGTGATGCGCCGATTCCACGCCGATTCTCCCCCCTGTCCCCCCTCGATGAAGCCGCGCCCCGAAGGGCACACTTGCCCAGGCCCCGAGATCCGACAGCACTGCGAGAAATCATGGGCGGAGCCTCAGACCCCATCTTTCTGCGACGTGTTCCGAGCTGGACCGGCCCGTGGTGGCCCCATAGGGCCCGAAAAGGGGTGGCCCGGGCGCCGCGCGTGGGCAAACATGCCACGCCCCGATCCCCGGTGGGGGCCGCTCGTGGCGCACGGCCAGCTCAGGCTCCAGGCGTGGGCGCTACGGCCGCTGCACGCGACCCTGGCCGCCCGCGGGGCGGAGCTTCAAGTACAGCGCCGAGGCCTGAAGCGAGCAGGGCGGAGCCCAGAGGAGGAGGAGGAGGAGGAGGAGGAGGAGGAGGAGGAGGAGGAGGAGGAGGGAGAAGGAGGGAAGACGGAGGAGGAAGAAGGGAGGATGAGGAGGAAGGGGCACGGAGGAGGACGGAGGAGGAGGAGGACGGAGCAGGACGGAGGAGGAGAGGGAGAGGAGACATAGCGCCTGCGCAAGGATGGAATGGGCCGTTGACGGTCTCAACTCGGGGGGGGACGGGCTGGCGCAAGTGGGCCACCTCCGCCACCTGTCCGCCCGAACCCACGTGGAGAAAACGTGGGACAGCCTAGACCAGGGAGGGGGGAATTCGAGCAAAGCCCTCTGGGTCACCGCCAACCGACTCCGTCGAGTCTGGGCATCCCACCGTTCAGCGCTTACGGTCGGGAACTTTCGGAAAGCGTGTCGATTCACCGGTTCTTGCCACCGCGCTTCGACGCGACATGCTATCCACGTCAAAGCCCGCAAGTGCCAACGTCTCGAGGTGCTCCCTGCCTCCCGCCCCGCGGAGCGGAGCGACACGTAGCGCGTCGCCGGGGTCGCCGCCGAGACGCGCTAATGAACAGTTCCCGACGGCATGTCGGCGGAGGTATCGTCATCGTAAGAGAAGAGTGTGCAGCGCCGAGGCCTCCGAGGCGCACGCCAACGCCGCGCGCCTGCGGCTAGAGGGCTGGGGCTGGCGCGCCGCGGAGGAGGCCCCCGTGCTGAGCCCAGCGTGCTTCGAGGCCCCGGCCGAGCTCGGGGACGTCCAAGAGGGTGGCGAGCCACAGGCGTGCTGGCGTCGTGGAGGAATCTGGACGGGGGGGAATCGGTTTTTGTTCGAATGTTTTTATTTTATTTTTTTTTCTTCATTTTTTTGTTCGGCCTCCGGAACATTCCAGACCTCAGAGGTTTGTGGCGAAGGGCGAGGACATCGTGGGCATTATGTCTGCTGGATCTCCCAGATTTCACGGCGCCTTCCCTGAGATCCAGGCGCTGACATGTTTTCTCACCCGGCTTTCTCGCTTGGGGTTCAAGTCGTGATGTTTCGCCTTCGCGTTGTCGGATGTGCATCTTTTTGGTACGTGCTCATCCATACTGTATGTATGTTGTGCTCCGTGGTGTGGCTCCAGGCGCCTCTTCGTAGCTGATGCGCTCTTTCAGCATATTAGCGAGGTCCGAATCTGTTTCCCACCAACATTGAGCGAACCTGGGGGAGGATTCGCTTGAAAGTGGTGGCGGAACTCCTCGACCCTGCCATGACCGGATATGGGAGCTCGACGCAAGCCGCTGCTACTTTACTTGGTCCCCAGACAGCTCTCGATAGCGACGGGGAAGAGAAGGGTGCCGTAGAGGACGCCAGGGGGAAGGATGACCTTGGCCTGACTGCGTCCAGATGTTCAGAGAGTGTTGAGGGTTTCAAGAAGATGCGTGGTGGTGGTCGCATCTGACAGAGTGTAGCAATAGTTCGCGGAAGTATGGCGCACCGCAGGTTGGTGGTCAGGCGGGTCATGGCGCGAATCTACGCAGTCGACGGACAACGATTGGACGTTTTTTGGGTGGATTTGGTTCGGGGGCCAGGTGTTGAAGCGGGACCAGTTGGAAGGTCGTCGGCAGCAGGAAGATTATGGAGAAGAGCGGCGCGACCAGGTCAAAAACAACGATTTTGAAAAGTGGCCTCGGCAGAAAGACGGGAGTACTCACTGATAGGGTTGGTCGTCCAGTACCTGGAAGCACACAAAGTGGTCTTCGCAGTCCAGGCAGTCGCCGTGGAAGAACAAAGATGACAACACATCGGATCTGGAGCAGTGGATGATGGCCGCGGCGTGTGGTTAATTGAAAACGGAATGCGGTTGTGCCAGGGCAGCGACGGTCGGATCGCCCAATGAGAGGGCTGCCAATTTACTGGTAGAGGATGATGAAGCACCTGGCGTACGAGAACTTAGCGACGCCGAAAGGCGCCAACTCCCGTTTATCAGAGTATCCGGGCGTCCTCACAGGCGAGTGGCGAGAAGAACCGTTCGTGTTTTTTTTTTTGTTTGTTTTTTGTTCTTTCTCAGCGCTGTCCAGCTGAGGCATATGCAGAGTTCACAGCAAGTTTAGACTTTCAATTGTGTCGTTCATCTTGTGATGGATCGCTGGCCCCCCCCGCGACCGGAGTATTCTTTTTGCTGGAAGGGAGATTCAGTGGACGATCCTGGTGTCCACTGGCTCGAGTCCTGACGCGATCCAAGGATGACTAATCTGCGATCATATTGGAATTGAGGAACCTCGACATCACCGAGAAACAGACGTTGACCACCAGCAATTCGAGGACGATGCACGTCCAGCGGGACATCTCGTTCACCATGGGTGGCGATCATTATTTCGACTACGCCCCGTCCCAGATATGGAAACGGACGATGGGTGCACCCTCTTGGCGGTTCTTGGACACAACGAGACTGACGTTCCACGCGCGCTGGCGGAGCTTCAGACCCAGAGGGCTGAGACATGGAATCAGAACAAGGACTTCAAGCGGCAGGTTCGCGCAGACAGGAAAGCACTTTCAGCGACCTTTCCCCGACCCAGCTCTGGTGCACCGCCACTGGCCTCGCGGTGACAGACCTCGCCGCAGTCAGGGCGGCGCACTCCGCGACGGGAAGTCGGCGCCGTTGGCGGAGGCGATGAAACGCTATGTAAGGATTAAGGGCACTGGGGGGAGCAGTGCCCGAAGCGAGGTAGTGCTGGCGCAGCTGCGGGATCCGGCGGCCGGGGTCTTGGAGGGCCCTCGTCTGGGCCCGCCGGGGCCAGGGGGGCTTTAGATGCGGGTTTCATTTTCTTCGGCGACCACGCCGCGGACGGTTCATTCGCCGCGGGCCATGGCGGCCCAGATCGTGGCCGAGAGCACGCGGCGCGACGACTGCCCCATAATGCGACCCCCCCTGTCCTCGAGGGGCCTTCCGGCGTCGCCGGGATTCATCGTGGTCGACGCGGCGGCCTGCCAGGGGCGGATATGGGGGGCCCCCCCTGCCGTTGTCCGATGAATGCGCAGAAAACAGCGGGCGTCGCATTGCCCGCTTTGTTTTCCCACCGCGCCGCGGCCAGGGGCATTGGAGCGCCTGCCCCCGCGGCGAACGTCGATCCGATGCCCGATGATGTTTCGAGAAGATCCCCATCTCATATGCAGATGTGCAGGGCAGGTCCATCTCCTGATGCCAGTGGGTCAGATGGCGCCTCTCGTGGCCAAGATAAACGCGGTCGAGAAAGTGATCAGTTTGTGTTATCAGGGGGCGCCAAGTGTCGACGCTGCGCTGTCCTGCGCGTCGCGATGCATCGGCGCCGACGATCCGAATTCCCCCGATTAGTTTCCGTGCCCCACGGAGGTGCTCAAGAGGCTCCCGAGTTCAATGCCGATTTGCGCCTCGTTCGCTTTGACCCGGGTTCCCAATCGACACAATGCTCATTGCGCGCGCCGCTGCAGCGCGCTCGGCTCTCGGGCGCTAGCCAGTGGCTCGACCAGTGCTTCGGGGCCGCGCTTCCCGCTGGCGGCGCGTCGGGGTCGCGCCGCCAGCGACCGCGGGCGCGAGAGCTCGGGGGCCCACGGGCATGGCCAGGCACATGCACTCGCGGCAGAATCGCGTGCCCAGGATGGAAAGTCGCCCGGCGATCGGCAGGTCCGCGCCCCCTCGCGAGCGGACCTCCCCGAGGGTGGCCGCGAACGCTTACGCTCGCTAGCGGGGGCGCGAGAAGTGCGACCTGTTGGTGGCGATCGACGGCAGCTTTCTCTTCAGAGCTCCGAGGACATCGCGGTTGTGCAGACTGTCAGTTAAGAGGTGAACGGCGAGCCTTCCTTTCGAGCCCGCACCCGTCGCGCGGCGCTTCATTTCGACTCGCATCAGGGCCGGCGGGCGGGGTTGGACCTGGCGGGCCCAGTCGAGCAGAGCGAACAGCCGACGCCGTCGCCGCAGAAGGGCCAGGCAGCATCGACGGGGGGCGTTTGACGCCGGGGGGTGGCCGGGGAGAGGGCGATCCGCCCGCGGGTGACAGAGGGCGCAGCTGTCGCGGCAGACGGAGAGGATGCTGAACATCACCCGCGAAGTGGGTGATCAGAACACCCTGCGCCGCGTCGCGCACCCGATGAGAAGTCCCGCAGCGACGCCGGGTGCCATTGTCTCCGCCCGCGGCACAAGACCCCGCGGAGCCGGGCCAACGGCGGCTTCGAATCGGGGGCCCCCGCGCCGGCGTCGGAGCTTCGCCCGGGGGGAATCGCGTCGCCGCGTTTCTCAGTCTTTCAGAGCTGGCGCGGCCGAGCATCGCGTCAACAGTTTCGGGAAATCGCGGGGCTGATCAGCTCGGCCCCCCACCCCCCTTCCCCCGCGGATAAACCGTCGTGGATATCCGGCGCGTGGAAGGCTCCGGAGACCTCCAGTCCGTCACGCGCACGACATATCTTTGGCGCTGTTCGGGCGAGCCCAGAGCAGGCGCCGCTCGCGAATTTGACGGCGGCGATCTTTCTGAGTTTTGAAATTGGCATATGCGCCCCAGCCCTGGTGATTCAGGGCACTGGCCAGCCGTCGACGTCGCTCGTTTCCCATATTGTTATTTCCTCCACTTCTGATTTTCGCGGGAGATTGCACCGGGGGGCCCTGCTCCCCCCCCCCCCCCACGCGCGCACACACGCGCACGCGCACACGCACACGCGCACGCACGCACGCACGCACGCACGCACGCACGCACGCACGCACGCACGCACGCACACACACACACACACACACACACACACACGCACGCACGCACGCACGCACGCACGCACGCACACGCGCACGCACGCACGCACGCACGCACGCACGCACGCACGCACGCACGCACGCACGCACGCACGCACGCACGCACACACACACACACACACACACGCACACACACACACACACACACACCGCGAGGGCATTTCGCGCTGGGGGCCGCGGCAGTTGCGGCCCCAAGACCGGGCGGGGCATCCGCCTCGGGAAGGGCCCTGGAAAGGCTTGCTCGCTCTTCCCCCCCCCGCAATCAGCGATTCGCAAAATGATCCCAGTGGGGGGGCGCTGCGGGGGCGAGCGGGGGCCATGCGGCTGCTGCTCGGCGGGGCAGGCGCGGATGCAGCTCAGTCCCAGCAGAGCGTCTCTGTTGGGGCTTCCCTTTCTGCGTCCTCTCTGGAAGGGCGATTGCGCCGTTGAGTTGGCACCCCGTGAGGGTGCTCTCTGCGCGCGCGTCGATCTGCGAGGGTTCGTTCGAGCGTTTCCCCGGGGGGGGGGGGTCGTCTCTCGGTCTCCCAAGGTGGCTCGCGCGTTGACCAGAATCGGGCGCGGGGGGCGGCGCGGTCGCGTTCCGCCTGAGGGGCGCCCCTTCGCTCGAGGTGCTCAGGTGCATGTCGGGGGGCCGCGCGAAAAGTTGCCCTCCTGCTTCCTGGCGGAGCGAACGGGATCAGACAGAGAGGGGGGGGGGGAGTGAGAGAGAGAGAGAGAGAGAAGAGAGAGAGAGAGAGAGAGAGAGAGAGAGAGAGAGAGAGAGAGAGAGAGAGAGAGAGGAGAGAGAGAAAAAAAAAAGAGAGAGAGAGAGAGGAGAGGGAGAGAGATATCTACATATATATATATAGGTAATTTAGATGTATATACATTTATGTATATGTATATGTACATATAGAGAGAAAACAGAGAGAGAGCGAGAGAGAGAGAGAAAGAGAGAGAGAGAGAGAGAGAGAGAGAGCGAACACAAAACAAATACAACAGAGAGAGAGAG